TACACTGTTTTTGTAGATGTGGTAAGTGCATCTTAAACAAGGACTGTCAAATTTATTGTGAGTAACTAGTTGCAAATAAAAATATTTGATGCTACCTATCAAGAACAAATCTTTAATTAGAAATATATTCTTAAAGTCTATTTTATAGAACAGTTTATCTCCTGTGGGTTTTTTTTTAAAGCTTAAAATGTGATTCAAAATAGTTAATTCTAATTTTGGTAGTAAATAATTGGTCTTTCTACCCATGCAACAGTCTGAGATTTGAAGTCTAAGCAAAGCAGTGCAAGAAGAAGGGCTAGAGATGATAATAAAATTACCACAGAATACCTAACAGTGTAGAGCAGCTCACTTTGTGGAATTCTCACTGCTGTGGTTTTGTAGTGCTGATTTCCTCAATCCTTTGTAATAAATGTAGCCACTTTTGCATATGGAGGCATGCTCATGGATGCGGTCTTCCACRCCGTGTTTCTAAAAATAGAACCTGCAAAGCTGTTAGTTCAGTGAACTGTTAGTGAAATTTCTGCACTGTGTGCTATGTGGCAGTGGGAACTACTACTACTACTACTACATTTTAATAAAAATTTGGCAAAGTTATGTTTCAGCATAAATGATCTTTTTAAGGTCTTTACATAAAGTCTGCCAGGTTCATCTGAATTCGTCCTTCCTGTCGGTGTGTAATGAAATGGCCTCTTTAATACAAAGTGCTGGACCTTTCCCGGGATAGCAGCTGTAAGCAGTTGCCGTGTACGTCTCTCATACTGTGTGTGATGTGTATTCCACTTGTGGCTCTTCTCTCCCTAAAGCACATGCCTGCCATGCAATTTATGTACCAAGAGTCCTGTGGTGAATCCTGTGTGTTGTCAACRGTAGCATCTGCAAATGTTCTGTTTTTGCGCATGGCTTTTGTCTTCTCGAAAAGGATATGGAGGGCATCGAAAGGAGGGCTACAAAGGTGGTGAAAGATTTAGAAGGGAAGACTTAGGAARAGCAACTGAGGTCAGTCACTTAGTCTATTCTGACTGGAGAAGAGGAGATTGAGGGGAGACCTCATTGCAGTTACAACTTCYTCATGAGGGGAAGAGGAGGGGCAGGCACTGATCTCTTCAATCTTGTGACGGGTGACAGGACTTGAGGAAATGGCCTGAAGCTGCTCTGGGGCAGGTTTAGGTTGGCTGTTAGGAAAAGGTTTTTTACCCAGTGAGTGATCAGCACTGAAACAGGCTTCCTGGGGAAGTGGTCACAGCACCAAGCCTGACAGAGTTCAAGAAGCTCTTGGATGACTTTCTCAAATACAGGGTGTGACTCTTGGGTTGTGCTGTGCAGGGCCAGGAGTTGGACTCAGTGATCTTTGTGGGTCCCATCCAGCTCAGTCCATTCTGTGATTAGCATCACACTCTGATGTGTTCTGCTTAGACCAGTGGAGTTCTTTCTAGCAGTAACTGTGTGCTGCTGCTCAGTAACCGCTACAATACTRTTTCATATGATTTGTTTCCCCAAAAGTTTGGCCCGACACAGGCATTACCTGTCTGATTCTTTGCTGCCTTCTGTAACCAGCTGAGTCATGCCCTCTGATGTTTCTCCTGCAGCTGAGTTCTTTAATATGATGGTGCTCTTTTGTGTACATGTAGTCTGCACAGTACAGGAAGGAGAATGTACGTGAGCATACACGTGCTTTTTTAACCACATGWTTAAGTGAACTCTGACTTTTCTTTGTACTTGAGTATGCTGTATATATTACTTAAAAGGTCATGGCTCRCTTTATTATCATAAGGCTTGTTCAAACCATAAAAGTCTTAATCTTCCACTTCTTTTTTTTTCCTCCTGAGAAAAGGAAATTAATAACTAAACTGTAGCCACCTTCTTTCTTGGTCTCTATAACTAAAATGGCTGCAGCAATGTTACAGCAGCTTTGGAGCTTGCAGCATGTGAGCCTTCATTTGAAGGCTATCATGTGGATTTATAAGGTATTCTTCGAAAAACAAATAGGCTTGTATTTGATGTTACTACAAATGTCTCTTCTGTAGTCAATTCTAAATTTTTTATGGTCATATGCTTCATGAAGAGTTTGTGGAATTACATTCACTCTTTCTTTAATTCTTTGATTCAGCCAGGATAACATAGAAGCTCTCAGCTAATGTGGTAGCTGACACGCGAGTATAAGGGTTTGTAAGCACATTGGTGGAAGARCACTGAGAGGTAAAATTGATTGGAGTATGGATTGAATCAATATAGGTATTCCTAAAACAGCCTTTCTTAGTGAAATGTTTGGTTTAGCCAGATGGAATAACTCAGCATTTGCTGGAAGCACAGGCACTTCCACAGATGTGGAAAAAATTAGTATGTTTTTATTATGATAAAATTTGCATATAGATATGGGTATCTTTGTTGGGTTTTTTTTCAGTAGCTACTTTTTGGTATTTGGTAACCTCAGATCCATTATCCTAGGATGTAGCCTTTTATCTCTTCCAGATGAACTTCAAGTTACCTGGGAAAGACATTAGAAGCTTTGATGTGATCTCTAGTTATTCAATACTAGGTAATTTGCGAAGTASTTACTCCCAGTTTTCTGTCTGCTTATCCAGAAATCAGCTGCTAATAAACAGGCACAGGTGGCAGGTATGTAGTGTGCCTGCTCCTGAACAACTGCTGTACACAGCCTGGTCTGATAATGTGAGGATGCAAACTTCATCAAGCTTTGAAACTGTGGTAGTTGGAGCTGTGGTGCATGGTCTTTCTTGTATCTGGATGCAATAAAATTCTATAGTTTTGTGTGCTGGAGCCATAGTGATACAGTTAAGCAATCCTGAGAGTAACAGAAAAGAGGCAGCTTTCATGGTTTTTTCCTTTGCAGTGTTGGCTCACTGAATCTGGGATTGTCATGGTGCTGCTGCCCCTTCTCTCTCTCTAAAAGCTGCTGGTTCTTGTTTGCTGAGCTCTGTCAAATGATTTTRTGGAGTAGTGTTGTAAAGACTATTATGGTCTAATGAATAACCTTCTGCAAATGATTATATTTTCAACCTGCATCGGTTCAGTGCTGGAAGGATGCAATGCTGATAATCAGATTTAGTTGCTTTACTTGTGCAAACTGGAGGCTGGTGCGAATGGCTCAAAGTGGGAGTGAGTGAGGCAGGGGCAGTTTCTTTGGCTGGCATGGTTTGTGAAGAAAACACTGTACGTACCTTTGGCCTGCATTAAAGCTTTAAATTGACAGCACCTGATCTGCAATGTGGTAAGCAAGTGTTCTTATACTTGTTCCAAAGCATGGTTATTTTCTAACTTAAGCCACCACTGTGTGTAGTATGTTTTTAAAGTAATACTTCTATATTAAACCTGGCCACAAAGCACTGCATGTTAGGTACTTGCATCTGGCTGAAAGTGAAGCTGCTGAAAGAGAAGTTCCAACTGTGTCTTTGCTATTTTGTTTCCACACTTGCACCTAATCCAAAGTCCCCACAACTATGGTGACCAAATCAAGGATTTGCTTTGCTTAAACCTGTGTCAGCGGGAGGGAAACAGTAGAAATTACTGTCAGGGGGAAAGGTGCTGTTGTGGTTTATAGATGGTGACTGCRTATCTATGGCATAATTGTATACTAAGAGCAGACCCTTGCTTCTGAAAAAATGCTTTCACGATATTAATGACGTACTTGAAGTRCAGACTTGCTCCAGCATCTGAAGTGAGCAGGTACCACTTTCCAARTAATGCAGTGTCTGGTAAGATCAGCAAATATGTATGTATGCCCTTATTGATTCATCAGCTGTTGTACAGGTTAGTATGATACTACCTTACTTTCCCATGTGATAATATGAGTGACATAGGTGAATAACTGGTTTTATTCTGTCTGCTGGACCACACCCCTCAGGACTTATTTGCAGTTGTCCTTTTTTGGTGAATTTAGGTTCAGTCTCTTTCCTAGGTGTTGAGGTTTCTTTGACTGGTGCATTTTAAGGAAAAATTTCTTATATATATATATATATACACACACACCCCTCCATATATAGGGGATTTATGTCTTGGAGACCGTTCTTTCATATGTAGCCCTTCTGTTATAGTGCAGTCATTCTGTAACTTTTAGCAATGCAGATAGCAATTTGCATCTAACGGCTAAGTTTCTGTGTTTTGGTTCATTKACTAATGAGATCTGATCTTTAACTTAACTATTTGAAAAAGTAGTCTAGTTAAAATGATTTTTTTTTGCCCCAGTGTTTAATATTGGGTGAGCTCTTGCCTTGTAGCTGTGAAGTTTTTCTGTAATAGTCACAAATATTGCATATTCCAATAATGGTACTTGAGATAGATCTGCTGTATGTATTAGGCAGCTARTAAAGCTCTTACCTTCAGATGATATGTAAGTAGAAAGATGACTTTTCACGTGGATTTTATGCAGAAAGCCTTGCTTTGTTCTGTGTGCTGACATACATGCAGTGTTGACTCTATATACAATGACTTTTTTGTCTGTGTGTCATGTCCGCCTCATGGATGAGTACAGTGTTTATGTCAGCATCTTTAGGCTTACAGCTACAGAGGCACTTAGATTATGYTTGTTGTGTTACAATAATATAGACTTCCAAATCTGAGAATACATTGTTTAGATCAATAAAACTGTTACTTTCTCTTTTGTTTTTCTCTGTAGTAATCCTGGGAAGCACCACTGTTCTGTGTACCCTCTTGGTGAAGGCAGTTTTTTCACTTTGGTTTGTTTAGATGTAAGCGATGTTCAGTGTGTAGCTTTGCAAGCTAAATAATTTTAATGAGATATTACATTAAACTGCCCTGGATTGGTAGTTGTGACGTGGATTGTATGAGCAGCTTGGCAGCCTCGTGTATGGAGGCTGGCAGTATTTATCAGTAAAGGCTGAACTTAGCTGGAAGCTCTTTTTTCTRAGTGAGGGGAATGAAGAGCCTATAACTGATCAGAGTGCTGGGGACTACTCTGAAATGTCTACTTGCCTTTTCTTGACTTAATACCTCAACTGCCTCTCTTTAAATTTTTACTATAGATAAATCATATTGTGCACAATGGAGGATTATACAAAAGACCTTTCAATGAAGCTTTTGAAGAAACACCAATGCTGGTTGCTGTGCTGACCTATGTAGGCTATGGTGTTCTCACTCTCTTTGGATATCTGCGAGATTTCATGCGGCAGTGGAAGATCGAGAAGTGTCAAAATGCAACGGAAAGAGAAGAACAGAAGGTAACCACTGCAGAATAATATTCAGTGGAAATTATGTGGCTAAGGCTTGAGTGTTTTTTTTGTGGGGGAAGTGGTGTTCAAAGTTTTCTGCTGTTTTCCTTGTTGTTTTCTAAGTGCCCCAAATACTATGCMAGTACCACTGTGTTGTTAAAAAAAGAAATGCTTCTTTTGAATTATTTTTCCTGCGAGTAGTTTCCTCATCTGTTTCACTGGAAATCTGCATCAACAGTTGTATCAACATACTGAAAGGTGCCCCAGCTGCAGAAACAGGGGTGTGGAGGAGAGAGGCTGCATTTGCCAGCATCAGCACCTAAAGAAAGATTCTGGCTTGAGTTTGACACCAGTGGGAGGCTTTCTAATGCTGCTCTGGTGGATGAGTTTTGATTTAGAAACCTTCTCTTTACCTGAAGCAGTTGCCAAGTGTCAGATCCAGGGCACAAGCTGTGTGACTTCAGATTCATTTGGAGTACAGAACATGAGCAGGTTATCTGATGGGTAAGTTGAGGTACTGATTCCTGACTCACTGATAGTAATTAGAAAGCATTCATGTTCAGACCTATTCACAAAAGCTTCTGTTACTAGGTGAAAGGTCTTGCCTGCTTCAGCAGTTTGTCCGGAATACGTAATTCTGATTTTCTGTAGCTGTAAATTATTTTTAGAGATCTTTATTCCGTATAGGAAATAATTTTTGTTAGGAAAGCTAATGTTGAAACTTGAAGTTCACAAGCTATTTTCTTGTCTTCTTAGAAGAGTGTGGCTACCAGTAAGCTTTCTCCGAAGGTCTTACTCTTTCTGATTCAGGTTCCATTTTTCTGAAGTACTTTGGGTAGCCAATCTAGCTTATAAAATGTTAAGGGAGTTCCTTTTCGAGTTTCTGGTTCTTTATGTAGCCACACAAGCAGTTGGCTAGCAGAAAATGGAGGAGACAGGAAGGACRTCTCAGTAAGGTAAGCAAATAATCAAGGGTGGCAGAGAGGAACTCAAAAGGGGAAGGCTACTTTGGAGCCTTTTTCAGAGGCAGCACTAGAATAAAGTGCATGTCTTTTTACAGAAGATTAGCTAAGGACCAGTGCCTAAAATTACTTCACAGTAGCTTCTTTCTGTAAGCATGGTGAGGTAGAATTAAGTGGATTTATGGTAGAGCACTAAATTCCAAAAAGAAGCATTCTTGCAGGAGTTAATGAGTAAAGGTATTTCATATTGGTTAAAAGTACAGAAGTTTAAGTTTACACTATTGACTGACTTCTGRAATCTGAAAGTAAAAACTTAACAGTTAAAATATCTGGTTAAAGAATGCTGCTTAAATCTCAACTTGTAACTTGAATTTTTAATGTCTTTTGAGCTACTTTGGTTTATGACACTTGAGAACATGGCACCCTTATATTTTTCTGTGCATGATGTAGAAGTTGATACAGAGGAGAACAGTCAAAACAGGTGCAGAAATCTACCACAACATTAGAATAGAAGTTTAAATATTGGTATGTATTCATGGTGCTTGAGGATTATAAATGAGTAACTGAAGTGTAGGTGCAGTTACTCTATACTGTAATTGTTACATTTCTGTTGCACATTTGTTGTGACACCCTTGTCCTGTTATCAATAAGAACTTTTCTATGGGAGCAGACATGGCTCTTACATCAGTGCGCGTGCAAAAAGGGGGCAGTAGGTCTAATTCAGTAACATTACTGAGAGCCTAATGTCAATAAAGATTGTCACAGAGGACATTCAAGCACAGAGTTTGTTAGCAACAGATTATCCTAGTCCTAAAAGAAATTTAGCTTTGAATGTTTTTATAAATTAACTCAGTGTTGCATCTTGCYCTGAAAGATACTTGCTTAACAAGTATACCTTCTGGACAGATGAATTGAAACTCTTGCAGTTTCTGTGTTGGGTATGGCTTCTATGAAGAGACACACGTATTCTGATTTTGTTTTGTGCATAGGATGTCTGTGGATGGAGCTAAAAAGAAGTGTCAGTGAATATTGCGTAAGAATGAAAAATAGGAAATCCTGTTTTAAAAAGTTTTGGTTGTTGGAGAAATCTCAGCCTAGTGTACTTCCCCAAACCACATTTCTAGCACTCAGATTGTAGTAGCTTTTTCCGATGTCAGACAAATAGAAGAGTGATCATGTGAGGTCTAGAACATACAGTACTTATCCTCACCCTTTGCTGCTTTAATCTTTGTTTGCCTGCAGATGAATTGATGAGAGCACGTTGCAGCGTGTCTGCTGTGGGATCCMGGGGTTATTCTGGTGCCGGAGGTGGAGTGGGATGTGCGTGTTCAATTACTTGTTTTGAAATTATTTTCTCATGATTTTCAAATATTTGAATTTCTCTGCTGGATGACAGCCCAATCATCTTTTGATAAGGGAATGCAGATACTAGTGTGCAGAAAAGGCTCAGAACTCACCTTTTTTGTTAYTATTAATACATGCAAATCAGAGGAGCCCTGTGATTACACTGGGKTACTTTCTGGCAGATTTGTGACTTCTGTGTGGAAAGTAACATTTTTATTATTTAAATTCTGAAGAGCCAACTAAGTTATGGTTTTCTTAAATATCAAGCAAAATTATTAACCTTACCTTTTTGAAATAGTTCATAATTGCTTAGGTGACTAATTACAAAATTACATAATATGAAGAAGTCTTTTGTAAAGGGCTGAATGAACCTGTTCTGAAAATCATCTGGAATTGAAGTATGTGGATTTTCTGTGGTGTGTTTCTGAAGGTCGTTACATTTAAAAGCATAACATAAACTTAGGACCAAAACATAGTATTAAAAACAAACACAGGTAAAAAACACTGGTTTTTGGTGCTATGGAGGGCAGTTTATTTCAGTAGAGCAACTCCTTCCTTAAACTGTCACTTAATAGTATAATCTTATTCTGCATTACAGTTAGAAAACTGCAAGTGATCAAACTAATATAAAGATCAGAGCAGGATTTCGAGCAGGTTTGAATTATGACTGTATCTGATGGCAAGTAAATTCCTTGGAACCATGTATTGATGTGAATGGTTCCAGGAAAACCTAATATTCACTCGCTGCTGAAACACAAAAGGGTGAAAAGGGACAGACTTTGCTAGTACTGATTTCCAGGAAACAGTTTCATGGGTTTGGCTTTGTTTAAAATATATTCAGTTGAGCTTTTCCTGGAAACCAGTGTTGTGTAGCACATATTCTCCGAAGCATTACCAGTCTGTTTTAGGYATGGGTAAACAGCAAGATTAAGAATTCTTAATTATACTGGAATCAATTTAGGCATAACCAATTTAAGTGTTCTCTGGTCGTATAATGTGGTTAAATCTGCAAAATACTTGTAGGATTTTATAGGCAGGATGGAAATCACTTTTACCTTTCTTCCAATCTAATTTGCCAGTTGATTATCTTGTATGTTTTGCATTTGCGAGTGACTGCAAATGGGGCTGGTAACTGTCTAATATACTGCTTCACGCTCTGTAGCTTGCCCAGTTTGAACGTGTTTCTAGCATCTGGGGTTTTCAAATACTTGCTCACAGAAGTCCAGCTGTACTGGAGTCTTGTTCAGTGTTGTCTTAGCATCTATATAGCTCGTTAAGCCTTCTSATGGTATTAAGGCTACCCACAGTTATTGTTCCATTTTTTCTTGACTCACTAGCAGTGAGATGGGACTCCTTTTAGAAGTAGGAAAAAATTTAGAAATTTGTTGCAATTGTCTGCTTGATTCCTGTTCAGAGTCAGTTATGTATTATTAGGTAGCACTTATGTGAATTGCAGATAAGCCCTGCTGGTGCTCATGGAACCATTTGTTAGCTTAGGTGCAATACTGTGAAAACCTGGCTCTAAAAGCAGCAAATCACATTGCATTTGCATCACCCTGTGCCCTGAGCTAGAGGCTACAAAGCCTTCATTATGACCTTCACTTGTTGTAATGTTAATTTACAGTATGATGAAATAATGGATTCCCAAATCACCTATGCTAAGGTATTGCACCCTAAGGGAGAATTTTATTGTTCCCTGGATGGGCTGTTTCTTGAAATCGATATGCTTTTTGGGCTCTGGGAGACCACTAGTACTTCWGTTTCTTCATCATGCATTCCCTCGTGTATGTTCTAGGCTTAAATTGACAGGAATAGAGCTGTTTAGGATTTTTTTAGCTGCATAAATGAAAGAACTTGCTGCTTTTGCTCCTTCTTTTGGAACCAGTGTAACTTTTGCAGTTGTTTGGCTTGCTCTGAAGATTGCTCAAATAATCAACTCCTGGATTATTTTTCCTCTAAATAAAAATGTTTCAATTCAGACTGATATTCCTAGGGACCTTTACAGCTAGGAAGAGTGTTGGGTCTGAAATAGGCTGAGAACTTGATGGAAAAAYAACAAGCTCTGAAGGCCATCTAAAGGTGATAGTGGTTGCTTCGAGGTCGCTACAGCAGAGCATTGTGGCTGCATGTGTTAAAAATGTGAAATCACGGAATATGCTAGGTTGGAAGGGACCCACAAGGATCATCGAAGTCCAGCTCTTAGGCATGCAAAAGACATCCCAAAGAGTCACACCATGTGCCTGAGAGCATTGTCCAAACTTCTCAATCTCTGTCAGGCTTGGTGCTGTGACCGCTTTCTTTGGAAGCCTCTTATGGTGTCAGAACACCCTCTTGAGTGTATAGTATGGATAGATAGATTTCATCCCTCCCTTCCTCCCCAGGTTTTTGTGTTTTGTTCTGCTTTGGGTTTTTTTTTTTTTTTGGTTCAAAGATGGAAAATATTAAAGTATCATGAGGAATTCAAGTGGTCTTTTTGTTGCACTGCCTTCTCTGCTCTTCATTTGGAATGCCACACTGTAGAAGGATGGAGGAGACAAACAAGAAAACAACCAGCAGACCATCTGGTCCTGTATGCCAGCTCCAAAAGAGATCTCTCAAACTCCAAAAGTCAGTATCAGTTTATAAAGGCACAATATCTTATCCCTTTCTCTTTTTATGTTCTCAGATACATGTGAGAAYCCCTCAGTGGGATTACGATTGATGAGGAAATAGACAATCCAGTTTTGCATTATGCCAGAATAACATTGCCTGCCTGTCCTATTCYAAGGAACTTTCTCATGAGATCTGTCTAAGGATGATTTGTTTGAGGGAGGGGTACATGTATAGATAACAAAGGAGTTGATACTATGGTGATACCTCAATTTAGAGCCCTTTGATATAGGGGCTAGAACTAGAACTTGGTACCCCTAAAAACTAAAGCTAGTGTCCCGTATTAGACCTTAATTTCTTTACCCATAATTTATTCCTATTTTTCCCTCTCATGATCCATTAGGTTCAGAGAAGTTCTCTGTTTGACAGTTAAATCCCTTTAAACTTAGTTCTGGTGTTGGCTTGTAAAGTCATGCTTGTGTTACATATAATGGTGGTGCCAGCCTGTTGCGGGTAATTGCCCTTATCTCACCAGTTGAGCTTGTTACTGTTCTGGCTTTGTCAGCTTGGGTTTCAGAAGAAAACTCATCTGATGAGTAATCTGAAGTGGGATTGGGCTGTACTAACCCAGGCATACCTGCCTGAGTTGATATAGTGACTCATTTCCATCCTCCCCCTCCTAGCKAGGAACCTTGGCTAAAATATCAATTGTTTCTCGGGTCACATAGTTGGTGTGCTTGGATAACTATTGCAAAGCTGAATTCTTGTGCATTGGTGGTTAAGAAGAGTTGAAAATGCCTAGAAGCATCTCAGTAGATTATAATTAGATTTAACAAGTCTCTCAAGTATTTATCTTCTAAGGTGCCAGGGTTTCTATTTGATCTCATTACCCCCACCCCTCTACAAGTAATGTAGCAGAGGGTTTGAAACAATTGTAGATGATTATGCTGATTTTGTGCCATGAATTGGGACAGGAACATGGAAAAAATAATTGCCCCTCTGTGCATTTTAGCGCATAGAAATTTTATTCCCACTGTCTGTCTTTGAGAAAGGACATACTTGTGATTCTGTGGAAGAATGATTGCTAACTAAATTGGTTTGTTTTTCCAGAGTTGAAAAGATGACAATTAATATCTTTGTGCCTTTTTGGCACAGGCAAATCAGAAATGGGTTTAGGTGCAACTGTGGCTGCTTGCAAGTTGGCACAGCCTTTCCTTTGCAGCTGCTGGTAGGAGAATGCAAAGGTGTGGACCTAAATGTTCCTTTACTCCAAACTGCAAGGACAAAGTTGTTAAATCATTAAAATGGGAGGTAATGAAAAAAGTACTCCTCCTGCAGGCAAGCATTATAAGAGCTTGTCAGTGCCTGTTTGTGTTTTTATTAAAAATCTGCCATAAATGCTTCAGTGGTACAAATGCCTGACACTGTAGTACTTGGTGAGATAGATACTCGGCCTTTCTCGTGCTCCTATCTCACCAAAAATGCAGCTCCCATCACAATGTTTACATTTTTTTGTGAAAAACAGGAAGAAATGGTCTGCTGGCTCTTACCTTTCTAATAAATTCATCTTTTTCCTTCTGTAGATGATTAAAAAGGTGCTTATTTTTCCCCAACAGAAGCAAATTAATTATGTATTCTTATCACTACTAAATGTCAAACTTTCTTTMATTGAATAGTAAAAAGGAAATCTTACGAATTTAGAGCCAGAAAAAAATGTTCTTGAGTTTTCAAATGTCCTTGCTGCCACAGTTAGTTTGACATTCTTGTGTTATCCATTCAAGGCAGTCACATACTTTTCCTGTAAAACATTGGAAGGGAAGCTAAAATTCAGGAAATGCTCATTCATAAAAATCATGTGTGACTTCAGTTTTGATAAGCTGTGCAGAAGAGAGGTGCCATAATGTAGCTTATTAGCTTCTATTTAGAAGAAAAAATTGTGGGAGGTTCTAATGGTAACATGTAAAATCATGCTAATGCTGCTGTATTAAAAGCATTCCTTATGCATGGAATAAAATATGGTAGAGCAGTTTAGTTTTCAAAGTCTTTGTGTATTCAGTAGAGCAATATGTACTGTTTGGTGCCAAAAAGCCGTTGCATGTTCCCTTGCTCTGCTTAAYTCTGAAGGCTGACTACCTCTCTTGCAAAGATTATATGCCCAAGCATTTAATGGAGGAGGTTATTTTATGTTTTGTGTTTTCTTGAGTTTTTTTTTATTACACCAGAATGACAGAAAAGAATTATTCCTCTTACTCTAATTTTGTGTCATATATCTTTACTTTTACTYTGAATGCTTTTCATGTGTTTCAGGACTTTGTCCCATTGTACCAGGACTTTGAAAATTTCTACAACAGAAACCTCTACATGCGCATTCGGGACAGCTGGAACCGTCCAATCTGCAGTGTGCCAGGGGCCAAAGTGGACATGATGGAGAGAGTTTCCCATGACTATAACTGGACATTCACGTGAGTCAAAACTGAAGAAAACACCTGCAACACCTGTCTTGAAATATAGGGTCTCTAAGAGCAAGTTGCAGACTGTGAAGTTGAAGCAGATTTCCAGCAGCTTGAGTCAATGAATTTTGCTTATTTGAAATGCATTTAGCCACCAAGCTGATGAYTTGTATACAGTCTTTTGACTACTTTATTAAGATATCCTGGGCCTGTATATATCTGTAATAAAATTAATACCTTCATGATGTGTGTGATGTTATAGAGTAGATACTTTGGATTGCACTGCTGCTTGTGATTTTGTGTTCATTTAGAAGAAGTTCTGACACTGGAAGTAAATTCTACTGCCTGAACTRAATTTATCATGATGGGTTTGAGTCAGAACTGAGGTAGTCTGTAGAAACAAAATGAGAAATACAATGAAAGGATTTTTACAAATTGTAAATTAYGTATCACAAGTTTGATGTGTAGAGGTTTGCAGCACATTAGTTGGTGAAACTAGTTTTGTCTCTTCTTGGCTCTCAAGGACAAAAGAATTAAAATAGATTTCTTTTCTGCTAAACTTCTTCCTTATTCTCCTTGTCACGTATTGTTAGCACAGAAATGGCAGATGTGTTTCCTTTCTGCGGTTAGAGGATATCCCGCTTGAGGGGCTGCCAAGTTAATTGATCTAAAGATGTTATTTTGTAATTGAAAGAAAAGTTGCATATTCTGGGATGAAGGGGAAACATGTCAGAGCAACAGATGGTTTGAGAAGCCTTAAGCAATTTTATATATAATAGCAAATTCACCTTCAAGTGTAAGGTCTTCTGGAAATTCATATGAGACTGTAAGATAGGGAGAGAATCTTTTTCACTGATTGCTGCAGTTTGATGATAGGAGGCCGTACTGAACTAATTTAATGGTTTGTTCTACTGAGTTTTAACATTTCAGTGTGTAGTCTAGGAAGGTGAAATAATATTCTTCTGGTGTGGATAACTTTTTAAATTTTGAGTTTCCTAACTTGTGCTGTTTTTAAAACACAGGTACACAGGGAGAGTGATAAAAGACATTATGAATATGGGTTCCTACAACTACCTTGGATTTGCACAGAATGCTGGGGCTTGCCAAGAAGCAGCTGCTAAAGTTCTGTCCCAGTATGGAGCTGGGGTGTGCAGCACTAGGCAGGAGATGGGTAAGTCGGATGGTATGTTCCCTGAATATGTATTTCAAAGTCTATATCTGATTGCAGGTCTTTGAAACATTAATTGTTCCAGCATTGAACTTTAGTCTAACCAATAAAGAAGCTTTTACTTCAGTTAAGACAAATTGACTTCCTGTATTTAGTTTACATTGCACAGCAGTTGTCTTATTTATATTTTCATATATAGTCTTTTTTTCAGTGTTCACTTATGGACCTTTAAAGAAAGTGTAGCTTGGTTGCTGGAAAGTCTCTTTTTAGCATTTAGCAATAGTGAAAGCTTCTCCGTGTTCTGAATTTCACGTTTGTTTTATGTGCAGGAAACTTGGACAAGCATGAGGAGCTGGAAAAGCTAGTTGCCAGGTTCCTAGGTGTGGAATCTGCAATGGCATATGGAATGGGATTTGCAACCAATTCTATGAACATTCCTGCTTTAGTTGGCAAGGTACGGTTTAAGTAATTAATAAAAGCTCACCTATCAAAGATTCTAGTGGTTAATTTTTCTAAAAGCTACTTGTTTGCTTTTGTTTTTCCTCATTGGCAACCCCTGCAGATATTCTCTTTGGAAACTGTAGGTCACAGTATGCATCTCTAACCATTTCAGAAATCTCTTTGGAAATCCATGGGACCAGTAGCAGCCCAGAACTTTCTGTCTGGGATAAAGCCTAGCATGTTAAGGCTTGCTGCCTTAGGCTACCCCTTGGTATGTGAAATGGTGGCTGATTAGCAGCCTGATTAGTGGCTGAAAGTATTTTGGTGCTTTTGAGACACTAAGAACTRACTGTCAGACACACAGATAAGCTGAATTGCATGTTGGTACATAGAGAATTTATTGTCTTTGAGTGACAATTAAAAAATCTTCCCTTTGAAGAAGCAAAATCCTAGTAGAAAAGTTGCTTGAGAGAAACAAGGTCAACTATAAGACTTACGATGTTTACTGTGTGCCCCATGAACAGTAGACAATTAGTCTGAGTGTCCAGTATCTCCAACCGTGGTTTTTTAGTTATTGGAAAATTAAATACAAGTGAAATTTTTGTTTGCATTTTCTGATGTAAAATGTATATTCTCTTAGTTTCTCCTTAGAGTAAAATATGCAAGTACTGGGAACAGTTTTTGTTTTTGAAAAAGGTTCACTGTCAGCCTAATACTACTAGTCTATTGGAATTCTTTGYCCCTGTGTAGTAGTAGGAATTATTTTCCTTTAATTTAATTTTTTTTTTCACTTACTGAGATGACTTTGTAAATCCTTCCACTTGTGATATCTACAGATTATAAATTTGCTGCCTCGTTCTTCCTGGCAACTTTTTTTCCTGATGATTTTCTTTTGGGTTAGCCGCAGTGTCTTCCTGCATGCTGTTTCTTTTTTTATAACTGGGAAGTAGCACTGTCTACATAATGTGCCTTTTCTTTTGGTCTGTTAAGTTTTAAATATCAAATGCTTTGCATTAAAAAAAACATTTTTGAGTCTGATGATAGAAATTCAGTGCTTCAGATCTAGTCCTTCTGGAGTCAAATACTTCTGCAGTGCCATGAATCTGAGCAACGTGTTACATCAGACCTATCTTTTACCTGCGTTTTTTGGCTCTTTGTCCTTCCACATCTCTCCAGTTTTTTATTCAACAGAAAAATGATTCTTGATTTCTGTGAGACCTTTTAGATTCAGTACACACTGTCAGATATATTTAAGTAGATGCTGGTTGTTTTAAGTCATTAGAAACTACTGATTCCTACAAACTTACCCAATCTTTTTTTTTGGTATATGTGGATCCCACTGTATACCTTCAATACCTTGTGATAATACCCCTGAGACACCTTACTCAGATCCTGAGTTTTCACCTTTGAACTTCAACAGGYTTAACAACCATTGAGAGAATCTGAACAGTAAATTTCCATGCTTGTAACATACCTGTTTTTATGCTGCTCACTTCTGCATTTACGAAGCCAGCTCCTGCCATAAATGAGTACAGCAGTCCGTACTGAGTTAGTCATGAGGATACTTAGCTTTTTGTACTTGAAATGAAGTAGTAAGAAGCTTCTGCCTCATAACAATACAAATGCCCTTATACTCAGGTGAATACTCCAAACAGAAAATGCATTATGGTGAAGAAGAGTTCTCATCAAATGAACAATTCTGTAGTTCAGAATGTTCACTAGATTTTTTTTTTTTGGCTGCCTGAAGTCGCTTCTCACTGCGCATTTGATTTCTTCATTGTCTGCAAATAAGGACACATAAATCTTGAATGTTGGCACCACCCAGTACACAATTAATTGTGTGTGCAACAACCTGTTTGGCAATGCTTTGATAGTCCTCAGTAAAGCTCGGAGATTCCCGTGCTTGATTAAACTCTTTGGCTATTTTTTTTTAATGACTGTCCCTTTCTGCATATCTTACTTGTGTTCCAAGCAGCTTTGCAGTTGAAAATGTAAGATATGTTTGAAGTTAATCGTATCTGGGTTCCAATATTACTGTTAATTAGCTAAAAACAAGCTACTGAGTATAGTTGCTCACATRTATGTAATAATGGACCAACTGTTCTTTTTCTGCTCTGTGGAATCCTGAAGCACTTTGTTTACATTCCTACTGAATCCTCTTTTAATAGCAAYAAATATGGTTTAACTGTCCTAGATCCATCTCTACCCTGTAATTTAATCATCATTAGTCAGCAAAAGGAATTCAAACGTTTCATCATTAACTAGTTGATCTATATATACTATGCCTTGTTAACAGCARCCTCTACTAAGCAGATGCTGAAAATAGGTGTAGTTGGTGTAAACTGTAAGTTGTATTTCAGCACTGTTACAGCATCACTAAAACAATTCTTTCTGTACCTGGTGGTTTTCAGCAGTAGAGACCTTCTGTTCACAGCCAAATTGTCATGTGCCTGGTACAGACAATTCCAAGTATGTTGAGTCTGGACCACAGTCATGTGTATTTGACAATGATGTATAGGTTGTTAGACTATTAGTCTAAGCTAGACTCTCAAACTTGCCTGTTTTGGAGTAAGTGTCATTAATGTAGTTAGTATAACTAGGTAATAATAGCATTCAGTACTGCCTTTAGCACTGAGCTTCTCATCATAGCTCTGGATTGAGAGACTAGACAATTGAGTTAGAGCAATGATGCTTGAGGGACCTTTTTGATTGTAAGAAAGCAAATTCATTTCCATATGTAGGTGGGTTTAAGTGCTCAGGACTGAATTACACAGTTCATGTACATAGCACTCTATGGCAGAATGTGGCATTCATTTCAATTTGCTTGCCTTGTAGGATGTGATGGTAAGCCTGGTCTTCACTGACCTGTTTTTCTAGAGCCCAAGTAGTGTTATCTCCAGTTACTGTTAGCCTTCTCCTTTCTCAAATGTAAATTTGCTGATAAATGCAATGGAAGTCTTATCATTGTAGTAGCAGCACTCAGTTGCTGCTATGATCATCAGTGATTGCTGTACTGTGCTGGTGGCTTCTGTGATCCATTGTGCTCTTTCTAGTGGCAGACAGTAAGAGACYCTTTACTGCTTCTTCAGTTTCAAATAAATTTGTTTCTAATTGAATGTCCTGTTAGTGGGGGGTGAAAAGATGCTGCTGCTGCTCATCAAATTGTTGAGTCTATTTTCTCCACCAAAAGCTCATCCTTGTTTTTATGGAAAAGCTTTTGCTAGGCTATTAAACTCTTCTTCCTCTTTTTTTTTTCTTCTCAATCTGTCACTTTTCCTACTTTCTCCCATTTAAGAAGGATACTAGTTCTTGATTATTATATTCATGTCTTTTGATACAGTATTGTTTAGCAGCAATGCCCTCTGATGTGTGCATACTCTGCCTTGTATAGTAGTTCAAACAGCAAACACAAGTTGGAAATTTTCATACTTCATATGCCAAAGTCTAGGAAATACRCAATGTGAATATTTGTAGCAGCACTATGAGCACTTGGCATTTATTGCAGTTTCTAGGGAAAACCAGTCTCGATTTTTCTCAGGATGTAGAACATTTCTAAGTTCATTGCAATTCTAGTGCAGTTTCCTTGACTGTGGAGAAAATACTCCGTGGCTTGTGACACTCCTTGTGTAACTATAGGCAATGCTTTTCACAGCTTTAGTCCTTTGTAACTATAGGCAATGCTTTAGTCCTTTCTAGTAATTCCCATTGTAGAGAAGAAATCCTTTTGATTCTTCTCTCCACCAATTGTTATTAGAGAATCATGGAATGAGCATGTTTCAGTGGTAGATCTTTAGCATCTTGACAYGCTTTCTGGATTTTTAACTGAGCAAAGTCACTTCTAAAGTTGTAGCATGTTTGCATAGTAAGCAGGAGTGGGCCAAGGTTATTTAGAAATATTGTTGCTCCCTTATTTATTAATTCCYCAATATATATTCCTGTAGTCAACAGTGATAACACTGTGACTGAATGTTCAGCATATCAATTATTGACCTGTAATCATCACTGCTCTCAAAACACACATACCCTGCTTTAATGTTTGTCCAAGGATTTAGCTTCTGGGGTTTTTTATGAAAAAACAAATTAATTCAATGGGATGTTCAATGGCTTCAGAAAATTTCTCCATTTTATATATAATTTTGTTTCCCACTTTCTGTCTCTTGTATATTACCTTAATCTACACAGGGGTTTAGTCAGTGGTTGCCGCCTAATGTAAGAAATAATGCAATTTTGATAAGGCCTTTAATCTAATATGTCCTATTGTCCTGTTTCTTAGCAGCACTGTAGACTTATGAGTGACCTGTGGCAAGCTGCTCTGCTCCCTGTTTTACCTCACTGCATAGGAGGATGAGTACTCATTAGCAGCATGAGATATTCAGGCAGGTTCAGCTGCAGGACTTCCAGAAAAAGTGAAACTTGAGTGGTTCTTTCAGTTAAGAGTAGTTGTGTAATTTTATTTGCCATACTAGGGCTGCAAATTGGGTCTTAGCAAGTCTTTCCTGGACTAGCTGCATTTATGTTAGAATTTTTTTTTTTCTTAAATGATCTTGAAGTGCTTCARAGCTGAAAGGTGTTATATGCTTGGCTGTGAAACATAACCTTTTCAATATCTTCCTCTTTCCTCTTCTGATTCAGGGCTGTCTGATTTTGAGTGATGAACTGAATCATGCATCACTAGTGCTTGGAGCAAGACTGTCMGGAGCAACTATCCGAATCTTTAAGCACAACAGTAAGTATCAGGTAGTGGACTCTGCTATTCTGCAGATGCTGTAGCTAAGATACAATCTTTCCTATTTTCTAATACCTGGAAATCCAATTTCATGCAAAGCAATCAATTGCTGGTTACCTGAAAGGTCAGAAGGCTGCTGMTACTGAAAGTTGAATCATCCTGAATATTTTTTTTTAATATGTTCTGTCCCAACAAATAACTTTTATCCTGAGACTGTTCTGGCTTACATCTTCTGCATATGGAGAAGAAYGTGCTACACTTCGGCAAATCCAGGGGCACTGGTGTTTTAACATGGTTTCTTGTTGCTTGGGTTGCTCAACATGGTTAGACTATTTTAACAGACTGTGTCACATAATAATGCAATCTTGTAGGGGTCTAGGTTACAATTTGGGGGATGAGAAAGTTTAATTTTAGAACTAGATGCCAACATGCTCCTACAGTAACAAAAGCTTATGACTACAGATGTCCTAGCTAAATTAGATAGTCATGAATTGTTACAATGTAGTACTAAAAGATTTTTGGGACATGAAGCATCCTGAAGTAGCTGAATTGCTTGCTTCATAAAAAATCTACACAGATTTTTTATTCTCCTAGTTTAGTCCTGCTTCAAAGGAGGTATTTATGATAACTTTTAGATAAATACTACCTAGAATTTCGTTATCTTACTCTTATARAAAGAGGTACCTGGTTGTTCTTGATTAGTAATGCCACTACCTTCATTCTTCAGGTGCTCCTAATACCCATTAAATAGCCAGTCTCTGGGATCACAGTGACTCTTGCTCTCTTTTAAGTATGTGGTGATAACAGCAAAACTTGGATGACTGCAATTATTTTTCTTTCTTTGTCCTACTTGATAGTGTGGATTCTTTCTGCTGCGCGTACTATTTCTTTGTGTTCTTTCTTGTTTTCTGTCATGTAAATAATTTGTTTTACAAAAGAGTAGAGCTTGCTGTAACATTTGGTTTTCTTTTTAACTCTTCATAAATTTTGGTTGCTGGGCAAGATCGCAAAAGCTTTACATTTTGCAAAAACTTCTATATTTGTTCAGACATACTTCTGAACATTACATCGTTACATCCAGTTGCAGAATTTCAAAGAACATTAGTGACAAACAATAGTTCTGCCTATGAGGAGAAGGACTTTGAAGCTGCTGTGGTGAAAAATAGCTTATTTGTCACAATGGCATACAAACTAGAAGTGGTGAAATTAGGGGACAGTCTAATTCTAGATGGTGGATTTCTGAGGTAGAGAATGTAATTGGCAGATTAGAATTAGAAGGCAAAATGCAAACAATGGTCTTGGTCGAGATGATGTTCGGTTTATATTTCTGTATGTGTTCTCTTGTTRTACTCTATACTGCCTTTTTAATGTCCTTTTCTTGAGATGTTTAATGGCTTCATTCATATTCATATCTTTAGTAATTAAGGGGCAGAAGTGAAAAATTCCCCTGAAATTCCATGTTCAATCTTTTTATCTTTCTCCTGCCTCATTCTGTTGTTTGTCCTTTTTATTAAGGTCAGACTAATCTTCTCCTCCTTCTTGAGAAATTAGAGCAGAAGTATATTTTCCATTGTTCTCCCTAACTGCACTAAACTTGTCTTTCTTTCACTGAGAGACTTGTTGGAGACAGGGACTACCCTGGTGATCTCTTCATCATTGACTTTCTGAGCACTAGTTGTCTTTTAACAGTCCATTAACTGACCTACTTTGCTGTGTAATTTTTAGTCTAGATCTAGTTCACAAGCTTCTTGCTTCTACAACTGCCCTAGTCTACCAGTTCTCTTCATGATTAATTGTGCTCTTTTTCATGCCCTAGTGTTTATGTCTGTCTCTTGCTCAGCACTTGGCTTTTATGCTTTGATTAATCCCAYCTTCACTCCTTTCCTCAGTGTTTTCTTTCAGGGCTGACTTCATGTKTATTTATTTGTTCACATCAGTTAGGTTTCTTAGGATCTTGTCAAGTGCTTGTAGCCAAAGCTAATAAGATTTCAGCATACATTGCTACTAACAGCTTCATCTGTGTACTTTCTGATATGCTGAACATTGTCCTCTTTCCTACACTGTGGTTCTTTTTTTAAATCTTTCTCTCTTTTTGGTTTAGAAGCTTCCTGTTCCACACTTCTAATCCCTTCAAATTTAAACAAAGGAATAAAAAAGTACACTTGTCCTGCTTCTTGTCCTGCACTTTGGTCTATCTTCTACTTATCTTTAATTGATTATCCTTGAACTTGCCTGTTCTATTCTGAATTATTTCTATCCACAAGGATGTTCTTACTACCTTCTTTTTTCATCAGAATGGTATACCTTCCTTTTTTGCCCCCCTTTTCTTTTTTCTTTTTCTTTTCCCACTTTCTTTGTTTGTGCCTAAAGCTCTAACTTGTGCTTTTAGCTTAGAATGATGAAATTCTTCCTTGGAGTTCATATAGTCTCCTATTCCCTTCAGTCTCATCCTTGGGCCTGTAGGTAGATGAAGCCTGTGCATATTGACTTGTGTATGGTCTGTCCTCCACACTGGAGCATTTTGTGCATTTCTGGAGTATTGCTGTCTTTAGTCATGTCAAAGCTCAAGCTTGTAGCTGTTTTGGTATCATTTAACAGTAATTTCTGGTGCAGATATGCAAAGCCTGGAGAAGCTGCTCAAAGATGCTATTGTGCATGGGCAACCTCGTACACGGAGGCCCTGGAAAAAAATTCTTATCTTGGTGGAAGGAATATACAGGTACAAACTATTCTTTATATTCCTAAGACCCTCCACGTGAGATCTGAATGCTTAGTGTTTAGGTTTCTTTGCCAAATCAAGCTATGAATATTGTCACTTCATGGTTATTTCATTAGTCTCATCTGTGAATTAAATTACACCATGTATGTCTCACATCCTGGGCTTTCTGTTGCTAGAACTGTAGCTGCACCTGGTGTTACCACAACGCTTCCCACATCCTGATTAGATTGTAGAAATTAATTAATCAAAACTGATTATTTAGCTCAGAGCTGAGGTCTTAAGTTGCTTGTCCATTCCATTCTTTCTGTGCTCACTAGATTATGCTAGTGTGAATGGAATTGCACAGATTTAGTATTTTTGTTAAGAAGGAGTAGGAGCAGTAGGCATAGCTGTGTTAGGCATTTAAATCATAGTGACTTTCAGCACAAAATGGGGTGTTTTGGARGGTTACTAATGAGAACCTAGTCAGTTCTTAGAAGCAACAGGTAAGTAGATGTCAAGTCAGAATACTGTCATTAGGGTGGAAGTARAATTGAGATATTTATAAGTGAATTATCACTGAACACATTCCTGTGCCCTATCTTACTGATGCATCTACTGCTTAGTCTGTGTGTCAGCATCCCAGGGATGCTGAACGGTAAGAAAGTAGAGATCTGGGCCCCAGGTGCAAGGCAGAGAGATACATCTCTGCGGACTGTGATGTGTCTACCAAATTATAAGTATTTGTAATTACTGAAAGAGTGAAGAAATGAAAGCTTAGTAATTTTAGGCTCTATAAGGTGGTCCCAGTTATCAAAAYAACTTATACTGAATTTTTGTTTTTCAACAGTATGGAGGGATCCATAGTCCGTTTGCCTGAAGTGATTGCCCTTAAGAAGAAGTACAAGTCCTATCTGTACCTTGACGAAGCTCATAGTATAGGTGCCCTGGGTCCCACTGGCCGGGGTGTAGTGGAGTATTTTGGACTCAATCCTGAAGATGTGGATGTTATGATGGGAACATTCACCAAAAGCTTTGGAGCTGCAGGAGGATACATTGGGGGCAAGAAGGTAAAAAGTTGGGAATCTCATGGCTGGTGGTAAAGTCCATTTCAGGCAGGTGATGGAATTCTTCATTAAGATTTTCAAAGTTAATCTTTATTTCTCAAGTATCCTATTGTCCATTTGTTTCATAATTTTATATACTGTCTAATACTACGAAAGTCTGCAGTGCAGAAGAGTYTAGTCTAGTAAAATAGCTCATAATTGTTTAGTTCTCACATGGTCAGTGATGATCTCAGTTTGCACATTGTACAGTTCTAGGAACTGCTAGAAGCCAGGAAGCAGGGATTTGTTAATGTTACTCTTAATGAGACTGGAAGGAGAAATGCCAAAGCTTGAGTTTTTCAACCGGTTTGAAGGAAAATCCTCTTAGATTAGGCTGACAGAATTTATTTCCCCTGGAAACAGTTTGCTTTCTGAAAAGACACTTTTCTCTTTTTCTTTCTTTTTTTTTTTTTTTTTTTTTTTTTTTTTTTTTTTTTTTTTTTTTTTTTTTTATTTTGGGTTTTGGTGCTCTTTTGGCTACTGTCCCTTTTCTATTGGAAAGTGCATCTAGAAAGTGTTGCTCTTGCCAAACCCCTAATTCTTAGAGGGATGTTCTAGACAATTCCTTGTGTCACCTTTCTCACAGCCAAAAATATCTGATGTCACAGATCAGCCTTCTAAGCTGTATTTGAAGGTAAAATTCTATCATTTTCCTACCAGGGCAATAATTTTTTTACATATTAATTGTAATAATTACTTCCACCCATTCCAGTGGAGATGGAACTTAGAGATATTCATTGTAGGGTGTTTACTACAATAAGATTAAAATTACTTTGATAATGTCCCCAGAAAAAAAAAAATCATATAAATCTTTTTCCAAAGGTAGTGAGATAGTGGAATTAACTCCATGGCATAAGGTAAAGCAGCTAAGAGCCCTTTGCAGCTGTGTTTTTTAGCTATTGATTGAGGGATTACCTCAGAGGTGAGAGGCCCTAAATCTTCTTACTAGTTTATTTCAAAGTCCCTTACCAACTTCCTTTATTTGGCTCTGACCCTAGGCAGACAGCAACAGAATACTTCCACACATTTTTATAATACATTTGCAGCTTGTGATAGTTACAGTGTTGCCATTATTCATTTTATGGTAGCGAAAGACTGAATCTATCCTGGCATTCTTACTGATGTTTATAATAACTTGCTAGGGTGGTATTTTAGCATGGTTTTGTAACAGTTAACAAGCAGCCTAGATGTAAGGTGTTTTGATTCTTTATTCCTATATGGTCTGGTTTTGCCCTCTAACAAAAATAGCATATATGCTTAACTGGGAAATGCAGAGAGGTTAGGCTGAGGTTTTTGCACTCTTGAATTACACCTTCTGCTTTATTTATATTGTGATGATGAACAAGAGAGATGATTTTCTGACCTGTTCCCTTGTTTGGTGGTTTTTGTGGGGAAAAAGTGTATTGAGCATGTTACATAAGCACCTATGGATCCTGCTTCCCATTACTTAGTTTTCTTTAAATTCCCACTGTTAWAATACACACTTTGGAAACTCACCCTGAGCACAGTTTAAAGCAGTTTAAACACAATGCAAACCCTTGTTGCAACCCACTGCTGATGGTGTTAGCTGAACAAGTCTGTCATAGACATTTGTCTCTGATCAACACACATTTTTGCCCTGTGACATTATGAGTTATCATGTCCTTGCTGTTCACATTTTAACTGTTTATTTCTTGTACTGTAAGATCAGTCCTTGAGATACTTGTTCTCTTATGGAGCATTCTGAAAGAGGTGGTGCCCAGCTTTTTGCGGTGCCCTGTTTAATTGTGATTAAAGATATGACAGAAGCATTTCTCTGAGTGCTGGGAAGGCTATGTCTGATGCCTCTTGTGTTTTGCTAGGAACTGATTGATTACCTCAGGACATACTCTCACAGTGCTGCATATGCAACATCAATGTCACCTCCTGTTGTGGAGCAAATCATCACCTCCATGAAGTGCATTATGGGTGAAGATGGTACAACTATTGGTGAGTCTTTCTAGCACTAAGCACATAGAAAGGGGAAGCCAAAAAGTCTCTGTCACTTCGACAGATAACACATTCAGTGGACACCTCGGGAAATATCAATTAGTATATGTAGGGTTGGAATTTCAGGAACAGTAAACCAGTTTACAATCCTACTTGGCAGATTAGCTTAATAACAGCATATAAAGGGTTTTCAGATAGTGGTAAGTCATCTTACTCTTATATAAGACATACTGTTTTCTTGTATTGATTTTTGTTCTCTATCAAGCTGCTCTAGCTACCTTTTCTTCCCCTTGTCTGCCCTTTATGATTTGCCCCACTTTAAACATTGCTTTCAGAGTATTTTGCTGTGTATCTTTTACAGTTGTGTGCTGCTTTACTGCAGGAGCAGTGCTTTCAGTTTTCATCTCTAGTATAATTTGATATTTGCATCTCAGTTAAAATTATTATGGAAATGTTTCTGAAATCCCTTTTTACTTGGGGAGCTAGAGGCATTCTTCAAAATCAATGAACTTAATGGACTAGAAGAAATTCAGCATATTTGTCTTTATTATCTTAGTTTTCCTGTTTCATTATAGAAGTAATGAAGGGGAAGTTTCACTACTCTTTGGGCATTCAAAGTCRTAATGACAAATTCTCGTGTTCATTTGCCTATGGGTAGCAGCTTCCTTCAGTTACAGCATGAGGTAAATAACTCTTTAGGCTGCCTTGAAACTGAAATGGTGTAGTTTTCATGTAGGATACATTTCCCTCTTCACAGGAAATTAAAACGTTGTGAGCAGCTCACACAGGATGACAGTGTAGTTTGCTTGAGGACCTGTTGGTGGCATTCAGTTTGGAGGCTCTAGAATTCCAACTGCAGTATATTCTGGAACTTGAGGCATCTGGCCACAAGGTGGTGGTGGTGGTGTATGCAGAAGAAATGAATTGGCTATTGAACATGCATCATCTGACCGACCAACCAACCTGTAGGATAACTTATGGTGGAAAAGCTCACTGCACAGTTGAGAATTTCTCTATTATAACAGGATTCATTTGGTTTGCTTACGTTATCTGAGAACAGAGTTCAGTGCCAGCAGTTGGTGTTGGTGGTTGCTCTGTGGAGATACCATCAGTGAGGCAAATACCAGACAGCAGCCTGTCTGTGCTAGCTTTGGGTGCTTCCAAATGGTCCATGTGAGAGACCTGTACCAAGAGCCAAGGCTTGACTCCCTGCTCTCAAGTACAGATGTTAAGCAAACTTCAAACTGCACAAAAATTTGTATTGCCATAATCTTAAAAGTAATTGTTTGAGCTTTTTATAGCTGATGATTTGCCACCAATCTGTGGTCTGCTTAGGCGTTGCTTGTTCTGGGTTTCTTCCAGTATCTGTTTTGCTTAATGAAGTGGGAAGCAAGGAATGTGTAACTGATTTCTGTTTGCAGTATTTAAACTCAGGAATTTTTGTCTCTTTCTGAGGCTACAGTRTGGTATTTGTTCAAGCCAGGAGAATGGAAGTAACTTCCATTCCAGACTGTTCTCCTGCCATTATGCCAGCAAGATCCATCTGAGCTGAAAGGCAAACCAGATCAGGAATCAATTTGGCAAAAAAATAAAAGATCTTTTTTTTTTGTTCTCATGTTGCTTAAAATGCATGTTGAACTACATTCTGCTAATTTGGTGCCAAGAAGTACCAGAATTCCTTGGCACTCCAACAAAAAAATGAGTGGTTGTGGTGTTTGATAGGTGTCTCATTTCCAAGAAGTGTCTGTATGCACACTTTCTATATGCGTTGTTGCACTTTTCATAAGTGATGGATTTAACAGCTGGATAGCCAGAACCTCRTCAAATCTTGAATGATTTCTCAGCTATAGGTCTTGTGAAAGTGTTACTGGCTTTTTACACRTCTAAGTCAACTTTTAGCTAAAATAAGCATCTCATAGGATGATTTGTGCATGAGAGTGCTTTTTTGTTTATTTTCTGCAGAGTGGTTTCCCAGTCATGCATTTTTTTTAATTGCCTTAAGGCTTTAGAGATAATATTACTTGGTAGACATTTTCTGTGGATGAAGTTGGCCAAAGTTCAGTTGCGTGAACTGAGCAGCTGATTAATGATAGCATGACATTTTTTCTTTGTTTAAGGGCTTTGGCTGAAAAACTTCTGTTTGGATTCTGTGGAATTACAACTGGGGCTCTGGAGTACCACTGCCTCGCATTTGTTTTGACTATGAATAAATTAGGAGTAGATGGGTGCTGGTAATAGTTTTTAACTGGGGAAGACAAGTGGAGAAATAGTGTTAAACTGGGTTGCTGGTAAGCACCTTTGAATTGACTGTGCACTACAAAAATTTCATTGCTTTTMAGTTATTCAAGCTGAATGAATGGATGAAGGAAACTGAGATAGGGCAATGGTTTTACAAGAACATAGGAGTTGRAGCTGGAATCAGAACAGTAGATGGCTAGCTCCCAACCTCATGTTTTGGACCACAGCTAGCTAAATCTCTTAATGGCTTCAAGAATGCTTTCTTGTAAAGGACCTTTGCAGCTTTTTTGTCTGCCTCCTTCTGTTYACCACATGCTATTTGTAAAACCTGCTGTCTTCCACGGCATCAAATCTTTGTGGAAATTGTCATGTCAGATTGAGATAATCTGTAGCTGAGGAATAAGTAATAGGAACCGAGTAGTTTTTGAGGATGAAAGGGTTTTTGTATATAATTTTTCTAGAWTATGTTAATTCTCTTCAGGTTATTTCTAAATCTAAAGAAGCGTCGGAAGGCTCTAAACTTGCAATGTGAGGTGTTGTAGTTACTAAAACCATAACTAAAAGAAGTCTATGTCTCCCTTCAGATTTTTCCAGCAAGTTGCCAGCAACTAAATAGGATATTAATAGGAGGCAACACAGACAAAATACTGATGCCATGAAAAGCTTCTCTGCAGAGAATGTAAGACATGCAGATGTGCTGCCTGAGTTGGGACAGTAGTTTCTTGTGTTTTGATTTCTATTTAAATGAATCTGTTAATTCTTTGTAATACGTATGCATAGAAGTGACTAGCAAACCTCAGTCATCCTGAAGACAGTTAGAGCAATATAATTATATATGGATGTATTACTATTTTGATTATCCAGACTGCAAAAACCATGCCAACAGCTAAAGCAATCGCAGAGCCATGTTTCAGGTTTTTGGTAGTTGTGCTTCCAGTGCTGCAATTCCTCTACATTATCAGATCAATACTCTGTCTGTCCAATTTTACTTTGCATTACTTGTCTTGCATTGTAATTGGCTAGAACACTGTCATGTGTCTTAAACAAAACATGTTTGATCTGTGATTCCTTTGAGAATTTCTTTAAAGGAGCAGTCATCCTCAAGAATATTAAACATGTTCAGCATACAAACTCTCTTCAGAGAACTTGGGTGACAGTGTACACGGATATCTTGTGTATCATCACATTTAGCTTTGGTGTAGTAGAGCAAGGTGAGCAGGAGAGATTCTTTCTGCAAAAATAAATYTTTGGAACTGTTTTCCAATTCAAAGTTACTATGGTTGAAAACTTTAATGAGAAAGTGTTGCAGATGCTTGTCAGCAGATTGGTGGATGTTGCTTTTGGTCTGTTCAGACACAAAATGAGATAATTTTGTAGATAAAGGAACTTTTTAAACAATGATAATAAAAAGACACAATAAGCTGAGTTTTCAGGGTCATAGTAAGCATACACAAAGATGACAAATTAATTATAGGAATGCAGTTCTGGAAAGCTGTAGCATAGAGCCACTTGATTCTTGCTGTTATTTAAATTGACTGTAGAGAAAATGAGACAGCTTGGTGCTTGTCATGGTAAATGAGACATTGTTGTGATTTATGATGGTAAGTACTTGACCTGTCTTGGTGAGTTTTTCAGCATCAGTGGTTTGGTTTGAGTTGAAAGCTGGATTTTTTGCCCCTACAATCTCACTWAGACTGGGAATCCAGCTGGCTCCTTTCTGTTATTTACACAAGAGCCAGGGATGCATCCTGTAGACCTGGAGTTCTGTTAGCACTGTAGCTGTTCAGGATCCAGCCTCTGTGTTGCCCTGGTAACATTGCTGGGAGCAAGTGGAAGAAGATCATAAGTAATCCAAGTGAGATGCAGGCAAATCAAAACATGCAAAGTAAAACCAGTCCAGGGACTGGTTAACCACCTTCAGAGGTGAAATGTCGTTTGCTCTCCTGTATGTTGAAAACTGAAGATGARCCTTAAATCCAGGTGTGTTTTGAGTTTGGCAGTGCTAATGGCTTATAAAAGAGGTGAASTATTTCTTTCCACAGACCTCAATTCAGCAATAGTAATTATACATGTTGACATTTGTAAGGAGTTTCTTACTTCCATATCAGTTTTAGGAACCAAATATCCCACATGTAATCACAGTTCCATATAGAGCATGTATAGAATAAGTTGTGGTTAGACCTTGCCCAAGATGGCTCTTAAATGTTGAGTGAATGTTGTCTTGAGCGCTGTATAAAAATGAAGAATTATCCASCATAGTTCAATGGGGCTAGCAGTTGCATAGGCCATTCCAGCTGCTAAACTATTGGAAAGGAATAACTGCTCTTTGAAGGCGGATCTGTCAGTTGGCAGCACACAGTCTGATTGGTATTTGTCTCACCACCTCAGTTGTAAAGATTCATAATTAATTCAATCTCAAAACATTAAAAAAAATTTGAAAAAAATTCTACTGTTGCCATTGCTATGTGCAGCATTATTGAGTGAGTGACAGAAGGTAGCTAAACCAATTATAACCAGAAGTAATAAGAATGTACATCTGTCCTGGCAGAGAATTGAGCATAACTGAGCTGTTCAGAATTTAGGACCATTGTTATACAGTTAAAATATGCCCAGGGAGAAGCATGCTGGGGRAAAAAAAATTAAACGAACTAAGCTTAAATGGTCTGCTTTAGTTCTGGAGGAGAAAAGACTGCAATTAGTATTTTAACTTCCATGTGGTTAATCAGGCCCTGAAGTGAATATACAGCCTCAGCAGTTCAATC